GTCTGTCTAGAATTGTATGTGCTACAACGGCTATGACGCACTTTGCATGACGATATCGATTTGTAGCAAGCGACCCAAGTGTCATAAGCTATCGTCGAGACATTAAAACAAACTTTCGACAATGAGATTCACGAGAAAATACGGCCGCTCGCTCACTCTCTGTGCGAGATGAGAATGTAAAAAGGTTGTCGAAACCTTGCATACCTGATGTACGCGCGAATAACAAGCATCGAGAGCAAATTGCAACAGAAGCGAGGATTGTGGGCGCAGCCATGTTGCTTGAAATCGCTACGCTAGCTTCCGGGCGACAAGCGATCTGTCAAAGTTCCCTAGAAAAGCGCGATCGCGACAAGCGGTGACGACCGATAGGCTTCCGTGACAGCAAATCTTGTCGCTGTCCAGTGGCGTAGCCAGGGAGGTGGAGGTGGGGGTTAAGCCTTTCTCCGAAAATTTTTGGGCATCCCTGCCCCCCCCCCCCCCCCGCTACTATAACAACATCTTCACTGATCGCTTTTAGAGAGCATAATGTCTGCTGACGTAAAAACGTGTCGCGGTGTTTGGCAAGGCTTTGGCACTCTGCGAGATTCCTCGGCAGCGAGCGTTTTAAGTTGCCTCAGTAATGGTATTAACGCTGCAGCGGTGGTCATACTAGTACCCGGCGAAACAGATCTTCCTGGAGCCAATGCACACAATAATTTTCAGAGATTCACTTTAATGGTAAAAGACAGACACAGTTTCAAGGTCTGGTTCAATTTCAAGCATACTATAGTGTGACTATTCGTATGTGTTCTAAGATATACTGAAGCGAGAGAATGACAGTTCTATAGAACTTTCGCGCGTTCTGCTAACATCTGAACGAACACGCGCACGCACACACGCGCGTGACAGAAAGTTTGGTTTATCCAACAAACTTCGCTAGTATGAGAGTGTGCAATATATTGAAACATATGTTTATTATGCGCTAATTGCCAAAGTCACTCCGCAATTTTCTCTAATGACGAAAATGTAACACAAGTAAACGTGCAAGTCAGTCGTAACCTTAGAAATGGCTCACTAACATACTCGTCATGTGCATAAATAAGACGATGGTGGTCATAAATCTAATGAGCGTAAGGGGAAATGCAGTGTGGGCAGCTACAGTGAGCACAAGTTTTATTGTGGAGCAGTGTGGTAAATAGCGCTAGAATAAGGAACATAAATCCAGAAAAATATACGACAAATAAATATATTGAATAACTGCATCTGTTCATGTGTCCTTTAACATTTACATGACTAGAAAGGCCCACGGAGAAATTTATGCAAATAGTGCCATAACGCATAAGAAATGCGCAGAAGGACGAAGCATGGGTGTAAAAGATATCTTGTTAAATTAATAACAATATGCATACTAATGATATTTTTAACAAGAAATGAAATAAACTGTGCAAGCAATGTTTCACGCAGTGAACAGACTTCAGTTATGATATAGCGGAATAGTGTTGAATAAATTTTCAATTGACACTAAGATTGACACGAGTGTAGAGCAGCGGTCTCGTGGTAGTCACAATTGTTGTGGCTTCTTAAGTTTTTGAGCACGTTTTCCCAACGGGTGAACGTCGAGACAACCATAGAACCAAGAACTTGGCAAGTGCAATAGCCTGAAATTTCTTTTGGAAACAGCACACATGTCAAGCAGAGAGCTCCCTCCTGGTATTTGGAATACACCAGGCAGCAAAACAGTTCTTGCTAGAGTGGTTGGAACTTCGGTTTGCGCTTACTGAGTGACGAAAAGCTGTAGTTTGCGCTTCGCTTCTTTGTCGTCATTATGAAACGTCTAGTCTAATCGTCCTGCCGCTCCTGGCATCCGAGCCCGTTAAACACGTAAAAGACCAATGTCGTTGTCAGGAATCAGGGTTTCCTTGCATGCATCTTGTTCCGATCGGTTTTTAGGAGTTCTTTCAGCACACGAGTCGTATTCAGGCAGTGCAGAAGTACAGCTGGGAACCGTTTCTTCAGCTGCAGTAGCCTTTTCGCCAGTTGTCGAGTGTGCACTAAAAGCAGGGTCGTCTTTCGAGAAATAATCATCAAGCGCTACTTTGCAACGTTTTGACAAGGCCGTCGAGTCTCATAGAAGGGCGCTGATTGACACAGAACACGAACTACCCAGAAAAGACGTGTAGGCAGCGCAATTCAATGGGGTGACCACGCATTGCTAGGCAGCAACGCGCTCAGCAGAGTTCGGCGACACTATAAATGCGAGAAATCGCAATCTGAGTGACAATGTATACATGTCGGGTGCTTATGTTCCGCCTTAAACACACTAGCACTCGTTTCTCCCATGACTGAAAGATTCTTCCGCATCCCTTCAGGTGCCCGTAAGGTCGCACTCACCCAGTATCTTATCTCGTAATCGGTTGGGCATGGCTGCGCCTTCGGTTGGTATAGTTCGAGTGCTCAGACTACTTTCGGTTGGTTCTTTAAGAGCGTCCACCTCAGAGCACTATCGACTGCTCTGACTTCGAAGGGAGAGTGGTGAGAGTGTGGTCTGACCGGGAGGACGAATCATGTTGGACAAGTCAGCCAATGACGGGGCTGCCGGTAGGTCAACAAGCTGAGGAGTGCGAGCGTGTATTTCGGAAGGGGGTATCGCCGGGTGCGTATTACTTCGTTAGCTGTTTTTGCGCGTGTGTGGGGTGAATTCCCATCTACGAAGCCATAAATGCACCATACCAATAACGAGGTGGCTAGAGAAGGTAGAGAAAACATCAATGCTGTCGTCACAGCAGTTCGCAGACAGCCTCGTGATTCGCCTTGAAGAAAGCAGTTCGGTCGAGGACGATCGAGGATGTGCTAAGCTCAGGAGGCATTCACTACATTCATACATGTCAGCGAGAGAGAGAATATAAAAAGGTGACACATATCAGACATAATCGCTGAAGTGATCGGCACCATTTCTTGATGCGGCGTAGTAACATTTACCCAATAGCTTCCTGCGTTGGCTGCACAATGGCGCTACAGGCGCGCTGCTCTAGCGCTTTGAGATTGCAGATGTATTCGGTTGGGAAACTGCCTCTCACGCTCCGACTGCGAGCAGCCTCTGAATCTGGCGACTATGAGCCAGAAGACCAGAGCAGCCAACCGAATACGCCATTACTCTGTGCGCGAAACGGCTCAAGTTTGTGATTGTGCGCCTACGGAAAGCTGGTAGGTTCTGTTGCATTGTATGTACTACCACAAACGTGAATGAACGCGAACGAATTGATACCAGTAGTAAAATTCCACTGACTCGCCCCGCATTCAGAATGCCCGTAACAGACAACCGACAGGCATGGATGATGCACCGTACTGCGTAAGTAAACTTGCGTTGCATGCGCTGGCAGTCCTTGTCGGAGTTGACGCGTTCTGAGAAACTGGTTATGGTTTACTATGCTCTGAACAAGACCGGAGTTCATTCCTTCATCATTAGTGGACCGATCACTCGATATTTTGTGTGGTACGAGGCTGCTCCTTTTCTCGCCGGCGTAAGTGCTGCAAACATGAATGAACGTATATAGTTAGAACAGTGTTTGAATGCCATATCTATGCTTTGCGCTTCTGTGCAGTTCTGAATGTGTTCTCAAAAAGGAAACGATGACAGACACCTTGCAGCAACGTTATTGTTTCAGGGAGCAGAGCGAGGAAATCTACGAAAAAAAAAACGAGAACGCATTACGCGCTACTGCGCGTAATTAAGTTTTATAGCGCATATACGCAGCGAACAAGTTATTTCTGTGTGAGAAGGTAAAAATCCAGGCGCATTTTTGATTGAGACAAAGTGAACATTTCTCCAGATTGATTACCTTCTTCTCGCAGGTTGCGTGATGAAACCTCTGCCGTTGGAGTAATTCATTGCTATCAAAAGTCACCGTGACACAGTAATGTCAACCAAGGTTACGAGAAAGTGCGCACAAAAAACAACGTGTGCAAATTATGGTTGCCAACGTGCAGCGTAACTTACACACACACACACAAAATACTTATTGCGTACTGTAAGCATGGTTGGATGCGCACAGTAAATTAAAAAAAAATGTTGACTAGAAGGTATCACCACGTCAGGGCTGCTTGCCGAAAGAGCCCAACATAAAAATCATTCTCATAGGCATGCAGTCACAAACGTCGATAGTATAAAATTGTTCGCTCATCAAAGTAAGCACAACAAAAATGTAAGTATAAATGTACAAAAATATCATCCGTATACCTCTCATTCCTCATTGTAAGTGAAGCCGCACATGACTTGTGAAATGCACTTCGCCCCGACGAGGACTACGCTATCTACACTTAACAGAGATTAACAATGTCTCCTCCGATAGGGCGGGTCGTCGCAATGATAAGTTCGCTAAATTCAATACATTTATTCCGCAAATAGTCACATCCCAGAGGAAAACTGAAGCCTGTGCTCCCACCCCCTCTCCCAAGTCAAGTCTGTGAACCCGCAACCCCCATAAAAATATTTCTTGATACGCCCCTGTCGCTGTCGCTAAAAAATTGCGTGCATGCGATTAGGGCTTTAGTTTCAATCACCTGTGGCGCATAGCCGCATACTAGTGGCACATACTCGCCCTAGGGTATGTGCTACTCTTTAACGGGAAAACGAGGCATGCGACAGGAATGTGACATTATTAAAGCCTTGGCTTGCGCGTAATATGCGTGAGATCATCCTACTGTGTTAACTACTTTTGGTTGACGTCAAGTTAAGAGGGTGATCTCGAGAGCACGCAGTCGTAAGTGGCTAGATAGGGACGCCAAAAAGGGCCTGAAGTACGTAAAGGTTTAAAATTACTTCGAAATATATGAGTTATTTCAAAGGACCTCACTCAGACATCATGCTACCACAGCCATATTACGCGTCTGATGAGGAGTCTATGATGAAAGGTATTCGAGAAGAAACGCAATGCAGTGTATTTCTGATGCAATACGAAGCTATGCCCCATCGCAGCACAGTAATTTGATACCTTTGCGTTTTTTTTTCTATACATCAATAGCTCCCCTTTCAGCGGTCGTTCAGCCGGACTGGCAGACGGTGGACTTGGGCGGCACAGCTACCTTCAACTGCATTCCCTCTGGCAATCCTGTCTCCACAATGGTGTGGATCAAAGACGGCAAGGCACTGCGGCCTGGAGACGCAGGCGTGCAGGTTAGAAGTTGCATGCGTCAATGATGAATAATAACGAATATCTTCCGCATTTGAACGCAGTGTCTAAGATTTTCACTCACGTGTCACTGCATCAGATTGTCTATTGTGATATTTTTTGCACGCGTTTAACTATTCCTGAATGCCGAATTTCATCATTGCAGCATTAGCCTTTCTCGCGAAAGCGGCCATAGCTTCTCCTGGTGTAAGTGCAGTCACGTTCTGTTGACACATAGAAGATGTTAATAATAATAATAATAATAATAATAATAATAATAATAATAATAATAATAATAATAATAATAATAATAATAATAATAATAATAATAATATAATAATAATAATAATAATAATAATAATAATAATAATAATAATATTAATAGTCACAGAAACCAGAAAAGTAACACTGCATTTGATGCAAATGGCTTTCGTTTCTCTTACAGCTTATTACTTTACACGTCCCGGATGCACACCATCTGCTTCTTGCCCTTCTTTCCTCATACGAGTTCAAAAAAAAACTCTGGCCCACGATTAGTTGTTTTCTGACGAGACTAAATTGCTATCAAGTGTGTCAAGATTCTTTAGATATCTCCGGGACAGTTTGATTCCAAGAAGCAGGTGCGTAGTATCTCGTCGACTGAGAAGTGAGCTTGCATGATTGGCTGCGGATGCAACCAAGAGGGCGTGAACTGACCAAGAAAGTCTCTGTATCTTACCTAATGACACTTCGTACTGAAACTTTGTTACAGCTCAACACTACGCATGGACAAAAGAAGCAAGAAACAACTTTTTGTCCGTGTCTCATGTGGCGCTGTAACAAAGTTCAAGTAAACCAACTTTCAGGCTTTTCTTTTATTCGTTCATTTGCACCACGGTTTCCTTTCATTTTTTCGGCCAGATTTTTTGGTGCTCCTTTCTTGTTCGCACTCGGCATTGCCTCCAAGCCTATTTTCTTCACGTATTATGTCCGCCGACACAATAGGCAGATGCTGTTTCGCACGCTATGCGTGTATATCAAAGTTTAATAGAACTACTCTTGCGCTTGGTTGTGACTTATATAGCTCTTAAAAAGGTTTTTTACAGGCACTGGGCACTCGAACACGTGAGTTTTCCTGAAGGGCGCACTGCCACGAAGAGGAGCGTGCAATGCATTCTGGTTCCATTCGAGGCCGCCACTAGGCTGGGTAACAATTGGTGACTTACCGCGGGAGGTTCTCAGGCGGTTCTGCTGCCGACCATGTAGGCCGGACTAACCCCACCATCACAACATCACAGCTACCACCATTACATAGCTCTAGTACTGAAGCTGCCATTCTTTTACAAACTCATTTTTTGTGCGCGTGGACCTTATGCCCCACACATATGATGGTCAAAGAACTCGCGCCTATTGTTCATAACTCGCGAAACAACAATTTGGTGCAGTTTCTAGGTAAACACTAGGCTTTACCTTTGTTACCTAAAATAATCTAAGATGCTGTTTTTTCGCCTGTCACCGTAGCCTGAGGTAATCTTCAAACAGCCAATGATATTTGATGAACATAGCCAACAGCTCCTAAAATGTCGGTCATTAAACACGATGTATATAAAACCGCATAAAACCAGTTTTAGTGGTTCATGGTAGACAAAAATCTAACGCAGGAACCAGCACAATAGAGAATTCCACCCAAATGGCATCAAGCTGCGCATACGGGTATTCATTAAAACAACAAAAGTAGCCTATAGTTAGTATTCCGGGAGGCTGAAACAATTAGTCAGAGACAGCCCGCCATCATTCTTGAAAGAGGTTGTACCCTTCTCTTAAATACGTTTCCGCGCAGTTGATAAACTTCATGCACTGGGAAAAATTCACGCTGTTGAGCACAATATACAAGTCTTGGACATCAACTGACAGAACGTAACTCAAGTTTTCGCTGCTACGAAAAACTTCTATTTTATGGGAATTGTTCACGCGAAAGGAGATCTTGCAGCTGGCAAAATACCTTTTTTTTTGTTTTGCAAGAATGCGCTGACATTATGCTGCCAGCTGCCAAACTCACTGATAATGGTTTGAATAACAATTGCGTGTCCTTGCTCTGAAACATTAGCCAATATTTTTTGTATATTTTGACAAGCGGCACAAGTGCTAACTTCTTACAGGATTCTTAAGAACTTGAACTTACTTTTTTCCAACTTTTTAACACGAACACTTTCAACACTGCAAGTTGTACTTTTTAACTAAAACATATCCCTTCACCACACACACACACAAAAAAACAGGTTTATTATGTGCCTGCAGCAGGCGTAATATGTTTATTTCAAAAAGCCAACTTCTTTTGTACGTGCAGGCTTACGTGATTTTGACATTTGTATGCGTTGTTGCAAGCAGAATAGAGCACTTGTTATTCAGGGCCACTGCTTGTCCCCTCTATGCTTTGAGGTCTGTGCTGGTTTGCGGTAGCTTTAAGCATTAAAAGCAGAAGACCTAGGTTCTAATAACCCCTGCCTCAAATTCAACCAATAGAACACGGGCTCATTTTACTACTTTCTTCGCACTTATTTTTCACAGTACGCTGTATCTTGTTCTATGAATAATGATCTATTCGTATCGTATGAAACCTCGTGTCTCTTCAAGGAGGCGTGCCCGGCTTTTTCACATGAACGATCTTACTCTGAACGACACCTTTTAGCGTGTCCTTGCTCTGTCTATGCACCAGAATTATCTGAGCTAACGTGATCCGCCATCAGTGCTTGCCTATACGTTGGTTTCGCGCATAGGTTAGTTGTACTTCACCCTGCCTAGCCGAACGCAATTTTTTCTGCGGTCAACGTCTTTTTCAGTTTTTGTATTCACTTCTCGCCAGGTCTGATTGTATTCGGCAATTATGTCTATTCTATGGAGGCTGTCCTTTAGAATAATGCATGTACTACACTAAATTGGTATTTTTCGGAATTTATTTTCAGTGAGATGGGCAGGAACCACACGCTTTATTTAGTTTTGGCGGTCTCGAGTGTTTCTTGTTAAACTTTTGCACAATTGCAGGCTCTCTTGAATTTATGTTTTGCTGAATTCAAGGCTGTCTCAATTGCACTTCCTCCGAACCAACCTATTTATTATAGCAGGCACTCTTCAGCTTATGCATGCTGGTTTCATGACACTTTCAGTTTCAGTTGCTCCAAACCGTGAGTCCTACGTTTGGAAGTCATTAAGATCACCGCTTAGTTCCTCATAAGCTCTCACGAATGATCTTTGGCTACCCGTATTGAGCTGAATTCGACTGTTTTGTTCCGCAAAAACGCCAACAATCCTGTGGCGTGGTAGAAATTCCAGGCCACAGCAAAACTATTTTGCTGTGCTGTTCATAAAGTGAAACGGCTGTTCCATGAAACCACCCTACGCTCTTCGCACTGACCAAACGAAGCTTTAGAGAGTGATTAATCGACAAAACGAAAACAAATATTCATAAATAGTGGATCATACTGGACAATCTATCGCAAAACAAAATGGGAGACGCACTAAGCTTTACATTCTTTACTGCTCATATCCAACTTTTGTGGGCACCAGCTGTATAACTCACGTGAACAACACCACTTGGCTTATCGACCCTAAAGACTTCAAAAGTCCCGCCATGACGTATTCAGCGACGTAGCAATGAATAAAATATAATAAAAAATAACGGTGCACACACATTGTAGCTGTTGTGAACATTGTGACACACATTGTGACACTTTGTGAACGGTGCACACACATTGTGACGCACGGAAATTTTCGCTCGCGATCAATGCCGGTACGGATCAAGTTCAGTTCAAAGGTTAGCCTCTCAGCGATTGAAAGTTACCTTGTAACAGCGCCTCAGACTACGTCGTGATCAAACCTGCGTGCGATCAAGCACGCCCTTGTCCGCCTGTCGACGCTGTAGGGTATGCGTGCTCCGCACGCTATAGTGCCGACCCACGTGAGTAAAAAAGAAAGAGAAGAAAAAAAAAGTCACAATGATCTCCTCAGTGAGAAGCTTACGGCAGAGTAGAACCTAAAATAATTTTGAATCAATTGAACTTTTATGATAGCCTTAATTATATTATAATTTAGTTTAGAGAGGTTTTAACTGAGGAGGGATTTTTCTTGTCTATTAATGTATCCTTCTTCAAATATCCATATCAGGTTACGAGGATTTCTTGAGGGAGCAGTAACCTCGCTTATTCTTTATAATATATTGCTAAGCACTGTTTCCAGTCATGATGAAGTATAAACACATGTATATGCAGACAATATATCATTTTTTTTCACACAGTAATATACAACCGCTATATATTCAAAAACAAACGTGTAAGTGAGGAATTAATAATTGGTGGCAGGCTCTTCATTTAACTAATAATCTTTCAAAGAGCGCAATTACAGGTTTACTTTTGCAAAAACGAATCACTAATATCTAGAATAACCTGTAACCTGCAGAACATATCACACTTGAACCCACTAAACTATCTGGGAATATTGCGTAATCACCACCTTTTTTTGGCACGGAGGGTCCTACGAAGGCTGTGCAGCAGTCGATCAGGCATACAGAGAAAATCACTAATTATCTTTTACAGAGTCTACATACATGCAGCTTTTCAGGACACCAGCAGTTTTGCCCCGTATTAGAATTTGTATGTGTTTTATTTTCTGGTGCACAGACTTTTACATTGTGTACTTTTGTACTCTTTGAAAGAGAGGCTGACTTTAGTTCTTAGATTATCGAAATTCACAGCCAGTATTGTCCTCTACTTAGAAACAAGCTTTTCCTCTCTATTGCGCAGATTTAGGATACCAAATGTGAAATAATTTTTAAAGATATATTGTAATTCTATGAAAATAAAACTTATTTTCTTGCATACATTATTATGAGTTGTTTTTATATTTTATTTACTTCGGTTTCATGCAGCGTGGTTGGGCTTCGTGGAAGCACTTGTTGGACTATTAGGTGTTACACTGAGTGACGTTTTTGCATCGGTAATGAAAGCCAGAACTTTAAAACGTATTTCAGGAT